ACTCGCCAAAGCTCCACCAGGAGACGTGCGCGTAGCGCCCGAGGTCTTTGACCTCTAATCAATCCATGGTTCATGGTGTTCCAACCATAACATTCCTAGGATAAGGTCATACCTTGCATCCAAGTCAAAGACTAAACAGCATTCCACGCTATCAAAGTCAAGAAACTTGACTTCGAGGTCCGCAGGGGCCTTCGTGACCACGACACGTGTCCCTGTTGCTAGGCGAACAGTGACGATGTCACCCAACCGCGCTTTCAGTGCCTCAGCATACAGCTGACTTCCTTCCATCGTGGACCGTCGAATATAATTGTCCTACGCCCCGAAATGGATGAGGATTTCCATGGCTTTTCAAAATTATTTACGGTCGCCTCCGAGACCAGCAAGCCCGGCTTGCATACACGTTCCGTATTCAAGAGCACAGAGCTCTGTGGGGCTGGGCCCTGTTGACCTATGCCTCCCTGAGGCTCAACAGAACTCAGTTCTTCCAGAGTAGGTCACCCCGCGCCTACTGAGTGGTGTTGCTTCCTCGCGACGAACTAGACTGGTAGGCGACGGTTCGAAGAACCTTGACGCGCCTTGCGCACGGGGCAACCGTTCCGCAGGTGACGGGTGTCTCCACAGACAAAACACCGCCGTGTGTTTGCGTGCTGCTTGGTAGCTCGAAGCTCCAATCCCTCGCCCTCAGCATAGCTGATTTCCATGGACATAGACCCGCTCGACGAGCTGTTGGAGTGTGCATTCCAACCAAGTCGTGCCGACTAGAAATTGAATTCGGCATCAATGCCACATTCACCGTCTTTTCAAACGAAGACGGATGCACACGGAAGACTTCCATACTGGCCGCGCCAGTGCAGGGGCCTTCCATAAAGTCGGCCACTGCGACCGCCTCCGGAAAGGGATCTGCTGCCACCCCAATGATAGTGCGCATCTCTTGGACAAAGTCCACCATTTCCTTGTTGCCCTGCCGGGCGGCAAGGAAGCGCGATCATACGCGATATTCCTGATTAGGCGGCGAGAACACTCGTGAGAGCTGCAATTTCAGCTTCGCCCAGGAGGAAAACGCAGCTT